TGTGCTCGGTGGCGCCCGAGGGCGGCCGTGGGTCTGACCAGCGGCAGCTGGGTATGCACCGGCCGGGCCACGAGGCTCGCTGGCGTCCGCTTCATCCGCGCCCCGACCGCACCCCTGTACTGAGCTGCCCCGAGCGGGGCAATACAGGCGTCGGGCAGCTCCAGTACGAGGCCGCCCTCAGGGGGGACCAGGGTCAGATGACTGGCCGCCAGAGCCCAGCCCTGCGCGGGCTGCTGGGCGCCGTCCCCACTGCGCCTTCCACAGCCCTCTGGGAGCGCGCAGCCACGGCACGGCCCCGCACACTGGCCACACGGGCCATGCTCACGCTCGACATGCACCGGGGCCGGGCCCCAACACCCACTGGCCCTCGCACGTTGCAGGGACGATGCCGTCGCACCCCCTGGGGCCGAGTACTTAGTCCTTTGTCCTAGGTAGAAGGCCGGGGAGAGCAATGCGTCGTCACAAGGGGATCTAAGGCGGGGCTCGGTCATGGGGCCGCGGTAAGGGTTCGAGGCCGGTCCAGGCTTCGTGAGGTCTTGGAGCTTTTCCTGGCGCACAGACGTGGGACTGCCCACTGTCGTAGGACAGACTCTTCCATCCTCTCCAGCGCCTGCCCCACACGCCCTCCTGCAGATCCCCCACCGCCTGGTTTCCAAAGGCACCATCCCCGGGCCAATTTACAGGGTGCGATTCAGCTCCAAAATCATCTTCTCAAAACTGCTTTGTGCGCTCCCCGGAGAAGCGGACGTCCGTTCCCTGGCGCTGCCTTCCCAAGGAGGAAGTCGGGGCTCAGGGGCGCACGTTTAGTAGGGCCGGGAAGCGACAGGGCCCTTGAGGGCCTCCAACCAGACAGCAGGCTGCAGGGGGCCAGCGAGGCACGGGCAGCGGGCGGCGCTCTCGGGACAGATGCAGGAAGTGCGTGTGGGAGGCGGCGTTACCTCCGGGGGGTACTCCCAAGGAGAGAGGGCTTCGGGTCACTGGCTTCCCCCTTTTCAGGCTGGCCACGCTCACTATCGAGCCCCTTCCTGCCCTCTGTGAGGTCCGGCTGCAGGCCGCTCCCTCTCAGCGCCACCTGGAGACGCAGCGGAGACAGAAGGCAGGACGGTCGCACGGACGGGCGGCGGGATGCAGGCAAAGACCGCGGGAGGAGGCGGGAGACTGCCCGCCCGCCAGGTAGGAGGGAGGCTCAAGGGAGAGCTGAACAAGAGGTGAGGGGCGGGGGCGCCGGGCAGAGCCCGGCAGCAGAGGCGGCGCTGGGGCAGCTCGGAGAGCACGGCCCCGCGGTACCTTGGCGTGTTTCATAAAGTAATGGATATCGGCCTCCAGCTCACGGGGGTCCTCCGGGGGGGCCTGCACAATCACCTCCTCGTGCTCCAGGGTGTCGTCGGCATCGGAGGGGTCTATCTGTCGGACGACCTTGCGGGTGATCTGGAAAAGAGCGAGGGGGCGGGCTGCTCAAACCCATTTGACAAGGCTCGAGGACAAGCTGCCCGGGCAGGGGGCCCGGGGAGGCCGAGAACGAGAACGGGGCCGACCTCCCCCGCCGCTGTGCCCTATGGCGAAACCTCAGAGGGGCTGGGGCTTGCGGCGGGTTTCGCTTGGGGGCCCAGGCGTGGCTGCACCTCGGGCCCACCGCGCTTCCTTCTTCCCCGGGGGCGCTCGCAGTTTGTGCCCTTGCCCCCGTTCTACTCCCACCAGCTTGGGGGCAGGGGGCAGTTTCTGTCACCTACGGAAACTGGATTCTGCTCTCATCCAAATATTCGAGGAGCCCTTTCCTCTCTACCTGCCCAGCGCTTGGAGAGAGAGAGACAGTCCCCGCCGCACGCGGCGCAGGGGGAGGGATGCACGCGGGGTCTTGCCGTGGGGCGTGAGCGGCACCCTGCCGCACGTGAGACCCTCCCTGCTCCCTCGCCACGCTGCCCGAGGCTGGCGCGGTGCCTGGAGCCTGCATCAGCGCCTCAGTGAGTCCCTGCACACTCTCTGTTGGGGGAGGCTCCTGGTGGGCCGGGGACAGCCACACCGCCCTCTCAACGCCGCGTGCAGGGGACAGCCACACGGCCCTCTCAACACTCTGTGCAGGGGACAGTCACACGGCCCTCTCAACACCCTGTGCAGGGACAGCCACACGGCCCTCTCAACACCCTGTGCAGGG